CAAAAATGTCGCGTTGCACGTTTTATTTATAATTGTCTTCTCTGTCTAGCAATACTAAGTGCATTTTTGGCAATCTTATGAAAACCAAGGTAGTGTGGCAGTGGGTTTGATCGCAGTCTCGTTTAGTCTCATCTTCATACCCTGGTCGGAGCGACAGGGAGACCACGTAGAACGTAATTAGTACTGCTTCCTCTGTCATAACATTCAGGATCATTCTCAAAATCGAATCGTTTATTTGGTTTATTCCCAGACGTTTCACCAGCATCCTTTGCCCTTATAACTTATCAAAGTAGCAAGACAAGGCAATACCTTGAACCAACTTTATGTTCAGCAGAGGTGGCATCGAGTGCTGTCTCTTGTTCTCTCAACCACAATTCATGTGGAAGTTGTTTGACATTGTTTTCGCAATCTGTTTGTATTGTCAGGAAGGCCTAGTGGAACGCAACTTGTCAGGAGTCCATAGTATGCATGGTGCTTTCTAGTTATATGAGATATATTCACCCTATTTCGTTTGAGATGATGGAGGACTGGTAGTTGAATTTTCCCACAATTATATGAATAGAGTTTACGTTTCCATTGAATTTCACATAGCCTTGCTTTCCTAAAAGGTGTTATCATCCAGGATGGACTGCAGTTTCTACCTCGCCTATTTCTTATCAGCACCCCAAGCGGGACTCGAACCATGGAAGTGCAGCGTGTAGTCTCGAAACAACCACTATGTTACATTGCCACGAGTGCCATTGGATCACAGAACTGATGTGAATTTAAAGGAAGGTCAGATACTTTTCCATATCATATTCTTTGGTAAGATTGTCGATTAAACAAAGTTATATTTGCTACGACGATCGACGACATTACTTATTTTTTGTTTATAATTAGGGTTTCGAGAACATAAGTAAATAAGTTATATGAGATGTATTCCTCCTATTTCGTTTGAGGCGATGAAAGACTAGTAGTTGAATTTCCCTACAATGATCCCTCGTTCTATACAATCTCTGGTGTTCTTTGATCCTTGTGCAGATTGTACTTTCAGTCTCGCCTATGTACTTTTTTTAAAAGTTCTTGTGGTTTATGCAGGAAACTTTGAAGTAATCCATTTTTTTGTCTTTTTCGTGTTGTGTAGGCAAGCTCGTATAGAGGTGTCCTTTCCTTCAGAATTGTACAATGTTTCATTTCATCAGGAGCAAAGGTAGCTTCCGTGTCAGTTGATATCAAGGTAGACTTATTAATCGATTTGCTTTCTCTTTTCCTTTCATAATCAATTAACTGTCATCTGCTCGTCGCTAAATCAAGCAACGCATAAACTGACGAAATTTAACTGCCTCAAAGTAAAGGTGAATGACAAACAATCGAACACAGACCTGCCGAATAAATTAAAGGCCATAGACATCCAGATTGGAAAAAATAAGAGGTGCTAGGCTAAAGATCTATGGTAGATATGAAAACCAAGATGGTGTCGCATTTTGTATGGTTGCAGTCTCCTTTAGCTTTATAGTGTCTATTTGACCACGTTTTTGCAACTTGGTTGGGCAACATAACGATTTTGTGGAAAGTACCTAATCCTGAGCCCTCTGTCATAGTAGTCATGACCATTTGCCTTTCGCTCTGGCCAAGTTGCGAAAACGATGTCAAATAAACATTATGTAGCCAAAGGGGACTACAACCAAACAAAATGTCACACTATTCATGATATCCATCATCGGACCGTTAACTTTGTACATTCCCAGACGTTTTGTTGCCTTCGCCAGAGAAAGGCGCAATCCATACCACAGAGTTACAATTTATCGAGTTGAAAAGTCAAGGCAAACCCCTTGATCAATTTTACGTTCAATCTTTTTGGCATCATTCCTCGCCCTTATTTTTGTCATAGGCCTTAGTGCTGCATCTCTTTCTTTCAACTCCATTGCATATCCTCCAATTACCCATTCATACTATTCTATGCTCTAGTTTCCTTCAATGGATTATAGAGGTTCTTGCATTTACCAAGATAGCCTAATTTTTGCACAATGATATTACTCCGATTCCCATAACTTTATTTTCACAACCGTAATATAAAGAGTAGAAAGGAAAATCAGTGACTAATGAATAAAAGGACTGGAAGTAAACCATTATTACTTAAAACGCACAATGGCCTAAATTATAGACATCGTAATCAAATTTTTATATCCGTCTCACCAAATACCAATCACTAATGGAAAACTGAAGAACTAATTTTCTTGAGAATGATATAATGCATATAATACTTTATCTGTGTATAGGTACGAATATGCGATTTTATTAACAGTATTTTTTATTTTAATGTGGGTATTACGCTTATTGACG